TTTTTGTAAAGTGTCTTTAGACCAGATTTTTCTCATGACAATGTAATAGAAAATACCTCATTCCTCAGCAATTTCCTTTTTGCTCCCCATTTAAAAACAAAGGAAAAGATCAACGAACCCTTCAGCTCTACTGGGAAATATGTACCTAGGAAACATAGGCACAAATTTAACTCTCCCTTCTGTACACTTGCAGTCAACTAATCTGCTTAAACTGATGAGGGTTGTTTTAACCATCCTGTTTGGGGAGGGTGGGGGGAATCAAATTTATTTCATAAAGCAATTTCAAACCACACAGAGGGGTGGTACATGTGGGGGTTGCTGAGGTAGGGGCCGCTTCAGGGAGGGTAAAAAAAATAAAAATCCAGCTAGTAACTGCGATTGTGTGATTGACTCCCCTCCCCCGCTTTTTTATTTAACGCGTATCACTCATCTAGACATCTCTGAATTGAGGGCATGGGGATTATCTCCTTTTAGGGAAAATGGAAGGCTGCATTTGAGTAGATCTGTGACTTTGAAAAGCCTCCTTATTCAACTCACCACTCTAGCACCACAGCTGGTGATGAGTGCATAAATAAACCTCAGAACAAATGGATAACTCCTTAGCACATTTTCCCCCACCCCTCTGGGGAGCCATTAAGTACACCTGCTACTTTCTAGGGCATCTGCTGCTGCCATCACAGGGGTGAAAACAGTAACAGAGGTTAAAGTGCTGGGGTCAGCAACCAAGCAACATTTTACAGTTGCTTGACTGCAGAATTGAAAGTGTACTGTTTTAACTCATTATCTGATTTTATTTTATTTTTTTACTTGCAACAAACCCACTTCTTACAATTTAATGCATAAATAAATAATTGCATTGCTTGGCTGGTTTGGACAATAGGTTGGCTGCAATACAGTTTAGGTAATTTGTGGCTCAGCCTAGGAGACAGACCGAACCATTATACTTAGTTAGGTTGAGTGACATCACGCAATTTGGTTACTTCAATAAATCAGGGCTTGATTAGTCAAGGGGTGTTTCTGTGATGTGAAAACACAACCACTGTGGTAAGCCCTGCCTTGCAGGATTAGTCATGATTTTTCTGTCCAGGAACTACCAGCCTTTAATTTCATGTGCATTATAACTGAACCATAAATTAGCTGACCACATTTAAACCTAGCACAGTGTGCAAACTCAGCTACCAAAAATTACACTGATCATCCTCAAAATAAGGGTTAGGTAAGACCCAAACATCTGTGCACTGATGAGCTGTTTAATATATTTACCCATAAATCATTACTTCATGGTTTATTCAGCTCACTTTTCTAGATTTGTATAAGCATGAATACATGACTATAGTCAGACAACACCTTGAATTACACTCTATGAAAGAGGAAGTCTCTTCGTAGCCATTTTGCAATATCCCAGCATGTTCTGAATATTCATTGGAGAATTTCTTTTGTGTTTCTTTGTAATCCTGTTCGGATTTTACCATGCTGGACAATTTGGTATCATTAGCAAACGTGATCAGCTCATCATTCAGCTGGTATAGGTTCATATATATGATGAAGTTTTGGAATCAACACTCTGGGTCACCAAGTGAAAAGGGCCTTTTTTAGCCCTACCTGTCTTGCCAATTCATGATGCTATGTGTCCTCCTACCATGCCAAACTCATGGCAACTGAGTTTGCTCAGCAGCCCTTGGTGAATTATTCTGACAACATCCAGGTATAAAATATCTATGGCTGACACACACCCTTAAGCAGAGGTCGCCACTCACCAACCTTTTGGACCTTAGGGACCACCAAACTCATAATTTTAAATTCCGCAGACCATTAATATGAATTTTGACTTACGGTGGCTTGTTGACGTTGGAGGGAGGGAGAGAGAGAGAGATATCTAATCTAATCTAGGAGGGCTGGTAGTTATGTTCTCTCTCTCTCTCTCTCTCTCTCTCTCTCTCTCTCTCTCACACACACACACACACACACACACACACACACACATCCCTCACCCCCTCCAAGGCAGCCACATTCCTAACCTGCTTTTCAGCTCCGTTCTCAGGGGAGGGAGGGAGGGAGGGAGGGAGGGAGAGAGAGAGAGAGAGAGAGAGAGAGAGAGAGAGAGATGGTATTCTGCGATCCCAAATTGAATGGTAGTAAAACAGGGTGGGGGATTTTCTTGCAGACGTTTTTGGGGATTTTCCCAGGGTCTCTATCTGTAGAGACCCTGGGAAAATCCCCCCAAAAATCTGCAGGAAAATCCTCCACCCCGTTTTCCTACTGATCAATCATTCGTTACTGTCTCCAGCTCCATTCTCGGGGGAGACAGAGAGAGAGTCTTTTGGCTTCATACAAGGAAAGCAGCAGAAGCAGCAGAAGTCTTTCTTTCCCCCAAACTCCACCAGAAATGAATCTTTGCCAGTGCAGCCTCTTGAAGCAGGATGCCTTGCAGAGTCCCAAAGACTCATTTCTGGTGGAGATTGGAGGAGAGAAAGAAAGACTTTTGCTGCTTTCCTTGTGTGCAGCTAAAAGCAGAAGAAAGAAGCGAAAAGAAGCAGCCCGGTGGCCAGGCAAGGTGTGTGGGGTGTGTGGGGCAAGTTCCCTCCCTTCACCCTTTCCCCCCTCCCCTCACTACTTCATTTTGTTCGCAGTGCAAGGGACGCGAGTCTTGTGTTCCTGCGGGCCATGTGGGTGGTGCAGCCTTGTGTTTCTTTGCAGCCTGGATTAATTGCTTTGGGGGATGCTTTGGGGGTGACATTTCTCTGTGGACTACCAAAATTTTCTTGTGGACCACCAGTGGGACATGTACCACCAGTTGGTGAGCACTGCCCTTAAGAAGTCTGGAAAGTCAGTGAGGTAAAATGTACCATTGTGGAGGTCATCTCGACTCCTTTCCGTGTGGCCTGTTCTTCTATCTCTTTACTTATTTTTCTGTTTAATAATAACAACAACAACCTCAGGAGCAACAAAAAGGATTTCACCCAAGAGCAGTACTGTGGGTGTCACAAGCAGCCAGATGGGGCTGTATATCCTGTGGATTATAATTATCCCTGCACTCTGCCGTTAAAACTCAGATATGGCTGGAGCATTAAAGACAGCTATTATGGTATCTATTGGGTAGTGTATTAGAGCATGCCATTTAATTAAAAACCCAATTTATCTGTGCATGAATAATTTCTAAGGGTTGCTATAGTATATTATTTCATTTGCTTACAAAAAAAAAACCCTATCAGCTGCAGATCATTGGCCAACAATGCAACTCTATAAGAGATTTTAGTTTGAATTGAATATACCAATAATAATGAACAGCTTCCTTCCTCGTGGCACTGGCGGTTTCAGAAGGAAACTGGTCCCCATAAGTACAGCATTATTGTCTAAAGTGGGGATAAGTGATGATGGAGTATTGGAAGACATGAAGGCTTTTGAACAGACATGAAGACAACTGCCCAGTACCCATGAATGACTGGCTTTTCAAAGACATCACCAAGAGAACTTTACAAAGGGAAGATGACTGCTCATTGTTGTTTACAATTTGAGCTCTATGTACAAGCATCACCTAAACAGGATTCTAGTGAAAAATGGAGACTGATCGATTTTGCAGAAGCTAAACTGCAATGAGAGAAGAAGCCCCTGGGTCAAGAAATATGAAGGCACAGATACAGTAGTCACCATAGAACATAATAATAAGATCTCTTTTTGAGATTTAGAGCAGGCAGGGTTCTCCAACCTGAGCAACTTTAAGTCTTGTGGACGTCAACTCCCAGAATTCCTCAGCCAGCAATTCTGGGAGTTGAAGTTCACAAGTCTTAAAGTTGCCAAAGTTGAAGACCCCCTGATTTAGAGGACAATTAGACAAAGCATTTTGGAAAGGGAAGAAATTATACCTATGTGTTTGACATGAGAATTCTCTGCCAAAAGACCTTGCAATAAGAAAGGGTTCAACAGTTCCAAGAAGGTTCCACATCCATTTGCACTATTCAGGTGACCCTGAGGGCACAGATAAACCTCCAAGTGGCCTCCAGAGGACTAACAACCAGATGACTGCAAGGAATATAAATCCTTCCACCTGCCCATCATTCTGAACGGAAGAAGCTTCTTGGATGAGAAGTAAAATGTCTTCAAGAAAAAGAAAGCCCAGTTGCCTTTTTTTTTGGGGGGGGGGGGGGGGGGGGGAACCACCTTAGGGACAAACCATGACCTGGATAACAATACAGCACAACAGAGCTTTTTAAATTAGGTTTATTGCCACAAAAGAAGAGCTAAAGATATAGAATAGTGGAAATCAAATCAGCAAGGCCCTTGTTCTCATTTAGGAGAGACTTCCTTAAGGCAGCATCTATGTAAATGGTTTGAAGCTCTTTTTCCTTGATTGCAAAACTGAAAGAATAACTGCCCCTATTTCAGATAAGCTGGATGGTAAAACCTCTACTGGCTGTTCGTTTCGCTAATGGTGTTTTGAAATGATTATTTTCTTTCTCAGCCTTAGCAAGTCCTCTTGCATTCATGATTACTGCACTGTAGCATAGCAGAGACTAAAACCAGGAAAATCTGTGTATATGTCACTGAAATTAATGGAAGCAGCCAAGTGGGAAGACATCACCCTTAATAGTCTTACAGAATAAATTATAAGGAATAACTACCTATAAACAGGCTGTTTGGGGACCCTGATTTGAGACTTTTCTCACAAAGGCAATGATAACAACCACTAGTCTTGAGTAATTACTCTATTGAATGAACAAAGTGAAATCAAGATGTTCAAGTTTCATTATTGGTTGTGATAGATTTGCACAAAACAAATCAGACAAAATAAAGAAATTAATCAAGCAGATATATAGTACACAAGTTTTATCTTCTAGTCTTGTTTCTGTTAACTAAATCTCATAGGACACAGCTTCCAACTTGCCATTCTGTCATTTTTTTCTTAATATGTAATTATTTATTTTGCCTACCTCCTTCTATGTTCATTGGGAGAACTACCCAACTCCTTTGATGTTTAGTTAAACATGCTTCTAATATTTCAGTTTCCCAGGAGGAGGAGGAGGAGGCTGCAGGAGGTTGGAGCCAAGGGACAGTCTGAAGTACCACCTCCTTGAATACTGCAGAAAACAGTAATGAGAAGAGGTGAAAATAAATGAGAAAGCAAAGAAACTCTGCAAAATTCAGATGAATGGCCTTAGTAAGAATTGTGACTTCTCCGGGGGAGATGGAGTAAGTATCCAGGAACTAGTTAGATTTCCTTCAGGACGTTTGAGATACAGAAGATCAGAGGTTAAGAATGTACACATACAGTTGTTGTTATGGTTGTTGTTGTTGTTGTTGTTGTTGTTGTTGTTGCTGCTGCTGCTGCTGCTGCTGTTGTTGATGATGATGATGATAATGATTAGTCATACTTAGGCCTGAAGGAGTTAGAATGGAATACAAAAAGGAATATTAATAATAAAGTTCTACTCTTGAACAAGACAATAACAATACACAATTTTAAAATAATGTTCATTTAAATAATGCTGTCTAAAAAGCAGGTTCATTTTGGGCCAGTTGTTATCCTAGACCTGCTTGAAAAAGCAGGCATCTCTTCAACTGTAATTGGAAGGAATTTCATAATTAGAATATTGACACTGAGACATTCCTGGCCACCATCGTATGACATGGATCTATTGGTTGGACCTGAGAGTTAAGGGAATCCAAGTGGATTGGATTCCCTAGCTGATTGTAGGGTTCATTCTCATTCCTTTAATTGATGTACAAACCATTTTTAATGGCACAGACTTATGACATTATAATAGTATTACCCTCCCAACGTATACTGGAATCAATTTAAAGTTATCTTTTAGGTGGTCCTGTTTTAAACTACTGTGATCCATTTCCACTCTACAGATTATTTTTTTTCATGGACAAGCTCTAGGATGCTTCTTTGATGATATGGATGGAAGAAGAAAAAAGAAGGAAGAAGAGGAGAAAGAGGAGGAGGAGGAAGAGGAAGAGGAAGGAAGGAGGATCTCACCATATCACATTGGCCATATTTAGGCAGGTATGTCCTATCTCCTTCAGCCACTGTGGATTATTTTCAATGGTTATTTTGTGCTGGACTGGAGAAATATTGGACTTCAGCCTTCCACAGATGCATTTGTCCATATAATATCAGACTTGTGTTTTCCAAAACAAGTGTCGGACCCCTTAGAAACAAGGGTTTAGCATGCTTTCAGAACAATGGTTGAACTAAATTGATAGTCTTGGGGGCATAAATGAGAGGTGAATTCTTTATTGTCAGCAAACAACCCTTTCCTAAATCTGCCACTTTCAGAACTCTCCACTACAGTCTCTTTAGGCATCCTTGTCTCCCTCTTCATTACTTTCCTTTTTTCATCTCTTCATGTCCTTAGTCTCTTCTTCAGATATTTCTCCTTCGTTGGTGTTTTTACACATGTGCATTTGTTTTTGTACACATCTCACTTGCTTTTGGAGACCATGTGCCCAAAATTAGCCTGTCTGACTGGACATTGGTAAAGACGATGAGTATGAGGTGAAGCAGGAAGAAATCCACTCCTATGTGAATGTGACCTATCAGTTGGTCATTTGAGGACAAAGATTTAGGGCTCAGATAGTGCTAGACTCATGTTCAGAAATATTCTGACTGATTACCAGATGGGAGTACTTCCTCCCTGCAACTCAGGAAATGTTAAATATGGCTAATAAAGAGTTAGAGAGAAAAAGTGTGCGTGTGAGAGGGAGACCAAGCAAGCAAGGGCCAGACAGATATTTTGGAAAGAGATTTATTCATTCATTCATTCATTCATTCATTCATTTATTTATTTATTTATTTATTTATTTCTAAAGCAAGTATTAGATAACAGGCATAAGTATAAACATGGTTATGAAAACATGAAATGGAAAAGAATAAAAAAGAAACATTGGACAGGGATGATAGGCACATTGGTGCACTTATGCGGGGCTGCCTTGGAAACAGTGTAGGATTGGCCTGCGGTGCCTCTGCCAGTGAAAATGGAGCTCGGGAGAATCCTCCCGAGCTCCGTTTTCACTGGTGGAGGGTTGCAGGAGTCCATTGCAGCTGAAAATGGAACTCGGGAGCCTGTTCACGCTGGCAGAACGCTCGGGCTGCCAGCCTACAGACCTCTTAGGAAAGGGGTGAGGTCAATAGTAGACAGTCTAAGGTTAAAGTTTTTGGGGTTTGGGGAAGAAACCACAGAGTCAGACAGAGTATTCCAGACATTGACTACTCTGTTGCTGAAGTCGTATTTCCTGCAATCAAGTTTGGTGCAGTTTACCTTGAGTTTGTATCTATTGTGTGATCTTGTATTGTTCTGGTTGAAGCTGAAATATTCATTGACAGGTAGGACATTGCAGTAGATAATTTTATGTACTATACTTAGATCGGACAGAAGGCGGCATAGTTCTAGGTTGTCTAGGTCTAAAATTTCAAGTCTGGTGGTGTTAAGTTTGGAGAATAAGGAGACCAGACATCTGACCAGTGACTTCAACTCTTTAATAATAACAGGAATCAGAACGGAACAGAGCAATACTATGGGCAGCAGTAACCCTTTTATAGGGTTAGCTGCTGCCTTATTAACCAATGAAAATGTGCAACAGGTTCCAACTACTGACCAATAAGGACAGTCCCAAAAGTGGCCAATCAGGGACTGGTTCTGGCCCAATCCCAAGTTGTTGTATAAGGACCAATCAAGTGTGCCGGTTTTCAACCCCTAATTTGCATTTAGGTTATTAACTTTTATTGATTCACAACACCCCTCCCACTTGGGTTCCGTTTGAGGGGAGCTGTGATAAAATCCTCAAGATAGGCAGGCCGTTTGGTCTGCCTGGATGATTTCCGAGGCTCCACCGGGTTTTGTCCCATGTCCGGTTCCGGTGGAGCGTTTGGATGACCATTGTTAAGTTCTATTTCGCTGCACGGCGATTCCGTGCTGCATTCACTGTGGTTGTCTCTGCTGCTGCGTGTTTCTTTGGGGTTTTGCAGTTCGTTTTCCCCCGTATTAAAGTTCCCTGAACACATCAACTCCCTCCCCGCTTCACGTTCCGGTGCTTCGCTGGGCTGTAGGGCTCCCGTTGACCTGCTATTAGTTGTATCAAAGTCAATTCCCTCGATACTCCCTCCCCCTTGAGTTGTTGAACCGGGGAAGTCATGGCCGCTGGGTGGTAATCTCGATCGGAGTTGGTCTATGTGGCGTTTCCACACCCTCCCATCGTCTGTTAGCAGGCGGTAAGATCTAGGCCCGGTGAGGTGGGTAACGGTTGCGGGTATCCATAACGGGTCGCCGGAAAAGTTTTTGGCAAAGATTAAATCGCCTACCTTAAATTCCCGGCATTTGCTGCTGGAGCCGAAAGGTTTTTCTGGTGCAAAAGCGGGGTGGAGCCGGTCAAGGTGCGATCGTATTTTCCGCCCCATAAGAAGTTCAGCGGGTGTTTTGTTGGTCACGCTGTGGGGCGTGATGTGCTGCAATAAAAGGATTCGATTGATTTTCTCGTCGATGTTGCCAAATTCCATTTTATGCAGGGTCTTTTTCACAAATTGTACCATGCGTTCTGCACGTCCATTCGCCGCAGGGTGCGCGGGCGAGGTCAGCGCATGGCGGATGCCCCGATCAGCCAGGTATTGTTCAAAGGGCAATGCAGTGAACTGCGGGCCGTTGTCCGAGACCAACACGTCCGGAAACCTGTGCGTGGCAAATAGTCTGTTTAATTTATTAATAACTGAGTCGGTTGTAGTTGTGTGCATTCGATGAATCTCGAGCCAATTAGAATAGGCGTCGACAGTAATCAGGAAAGTGTGACCTTTGGTAGGCCCCGCAAAGTCAATATGAATACGGGACCACGGTCCTCTCGGTGTTTCCCATTCGGTTGGGCTTGCTTTCGGTGGGGCGTTGCTGACGTCCTGGCAACGTTGGCACGTAGCGACCCAGGCCTCGATTCTTTTGTCGATTCCCGGCCACCAAGCGTAGCTGCGTGTGAGTGATTTCATCTGCACAATGCCCGGATGTCCCTCATGCAATACCGCCAGCACAGTCTGTTGCAATTTGGCAGGGATTATGACTCGATCGCCCCACAAGATACAGCCTTTTTGGGAAAACAGCTCGGTTTGGCGGGCTTTGAAGGGCACCCATTCAGGTGCAATTTGGTCCGTCGGCCACCCCCGTTCAACCCAGCGTAGTATGTGTTGCAGAACTGGGTCACGTTTCGTTTCAAAAGCAATGTCTCTAGCCGTCAAGGGTGGTGCCTGTAGAGTTTCAATCTGTAGTGTTGAGAGGGTTGGGGCTGGATCCACAACAGCGTCTGGGAGCGGTGTTCTGCTCAATGCATCGGCGTGGAGAATCGATTTCCCCGGGCGGTGCTGCAAAGTGTAGTTGTAGGCCGCCAGGAATTCAGACCAACGAGTCATTCTGGGGGACAATATATACGGGGTTGGTTTATTACCCGCAATGATCCCCAGTAGCGGTTTATGATCAGTGATTATTGTAAATGTACGGCCATAAACATATTCGTGAAATCTTTTAACTGCAGCAACAATAGCTAAAGCTTCTTTGTCCAGCTGACTATAATTTCGTTCAGCTTTAGCTAAGGTTCGCGAAAAAAACGCGATGGGGGCTTCTGCTCCGTTTGGTAACACGTGGGCCAGAATTGCCCCAACCCCAAAGGGTGATACGTCACACGTGATAGTGAGCGGCAGAGTCTCGTTGTACTGCATAAGTACTGAATCAGAAGTTAGCAATTTCTTTACTTGTTGGAAAGCATGTTGTTCCCGTTGTCCCCAAACCCACGTTGCTTTTTTTGTCTAATAGTCTATGCAATGGCTCAGCTACTGTTGCTTTGTGGGGTAAAAACACATTATAGAAATTGATAAGTCCAAGGAACGCCTGTAGGTCTGCCTTGTTCCTAGGAGTGGGTGCCTTTTTAATTGCTCGTAATTTGTCTTCGGTGGGATGAATTCCTTGGCTGTCCAGGAGGTATCCCAAAAATTCTACTTTTTCGGTACATAAGTGGCATTTATCTTTTTTTACTCTGAGGCCTGCATTTTGGAATCTTTGTAAAACCTCTCTGAGTCGTTTTTCTAAAATGTCTTTGTTAGGTGCGGCGATGAGTACATCGTCGAAATATGGGACAACACCTTTTAT